GGATTTGTATTCCTGATGATGCTGAGATGAAGAAGGTGATACTTGAAGAGAGTCATAGAAGTAAGCTAAGTATTCATCCAGGAGCTACAAAGATGTATCAAGATTTGAAAGGTTTATTTTGGTGGCCTGGAATGAAGAGTGATGTGGCTCGGTTTGTGTATGCATGTTTGACTTGTCAGAAGTCGAAAGTTGAACATCATAAGCCTGTAGGATTGATGCAACCGTTAGAAGTTCCAAAATGGAAATGGGATAGCATTTCGATGGACTTTATGACGGGCTTACCTAATACTTTAAGAGGACATGATTCGATTTGGGTGATTGTTGATAGGCTTATGAAGTTGGCTCATTTTATTCCTATTAACATCAGTTTTCTAGTGATGAAGTTGGCTGAGATTTACACTAGTGTGATTGTGAAGCTGCATGGTGTTCCTTTGTGCATTGTGTCAGATAGAGATCTAAGATTTACTTCTTATTTTTGGAAGATTTTGCAAGAAGCGTTGGGTTTTAAGTTGAGGTTGAGTTCAGGGTATCATCCTCAAACAGATGGTCAGACTGAACGGACGATTCAATCGTTGGAAGACTCTGAGGGGAAAAGAGATTGCTTTGGTTAAAGTGGTTTGCTAGGAGCTTCCGGAGAAAGCATGACTTGGGAGTTGGAGAGCAAGATGCGAGACTCTTATCCTGAGTTGTTTGATTAAGGTAAATTTTCGAGGACGAAAATATTCTAAGTGGGAGAGAGTTGTAACGCCCGTAATTTAATTAATTATTTAATTAAATTGTTTTTTGAATATTGTTAAATTATGTTGTGATTAATTGAATTTAATTATTTTATTAAGTGGTGAAATAATATTAGAAGAATGATAATATTATTTGATGTGGTCTTATCTCATAGGATGGAAGTAGAAATAAGGGGGTGTAGTAGTTTTAAGCCCATTAAGGGATAAAGAGAATAATAGGGTTATTTTATTATTGTTAGAATAAGGAGAAAAGAAGAAGTAGTAAGAAGAATAAGGGTTAGAGAAAGAACGTGAAAGCTGTTGGAAAGGAGGAAAGAGGCAGAACGGAAATTCAACCAGAAGTTATAGAGCAACCTTCAATCCAAGGTAAGGGTGGGGTTCTGACTCTATAATATGGTTCATGATAATTGGTATGTGAGGTTAGAGGTTAAAGATTGTTTGGTTTTATGATTGAATTATATATGATGTTGTATGATAGAAATCGATGATTGAAAGATGAAGAACGATGTCCTAATGTTGTTTATTTGATGTAGAATTATAGGATAATTGTAATTGATGATTATCTATGATTAGATGATGTTTTTAGGGCCTAAAGTATGGTACCCGAAGTGAAAACGCAGAGAAATCGTAGAAAATATCCTTAGCGGAGCAATATGTGTCGACCCCAAATTTTATGTGTCGATACAAGAAGGCTTGTACACTCTGGATGAGTCGACACGAAGGAGTCATGTGTCGATACATGAAGGCTTTTAGATTCAATATTAGTCAATACGTAGGGGCATGTGCCGATACATGCAGTGTTTCAGACTCAGTATGAGTCGATACAAGAGGGTATGTGTCGACTCATGTTGCGTCTTCAGTTCAGTACGTGTCGACCCAAGGCGTTATGCGTGGATCCATGTTGTCTGGTTTTTGTTAGATTCGTTTTCCCGAGGCTGTAACTTGAGTTTTCGGATTCCGTTTGAGGTGCCGTTCGAAGCGTTGAATAGCTAACGCGATGAACTTATTTATTAAGGATTAAAATGAAGAATAGGAAGGATAGTCCTAGTATCCAAGTTAGGAATCGGATTAGTTCCCGAGTTGATCGTTATGTTGATTTTTGTGAAGAATGATGAGGACGAAACGTTTATAGATTACTGTCTGATTTGTAAAAGTATGATTAATGATGATAATGATGTAGTATTACAGAATAGTAATATGCAGAGGTTTGATAATTTAGAAGTAAGCCTTAGTTGATTAACTAGTCATAGGCGAATCATGTTGTAGGCCTATGGCCAACGTTGCGAGATTGAAAAATTGTTGTTGTAATGTTGTTGTGGCTGAGTTGGTGTGAATATATGATGTATATATGATGTTTGATGAATTATGATGTTGATGAAATATGTTGAGATGTCTCTAATCATTGGCAGCTATTAAGATGTAGGCTTATGTCCAACGATGATGTTTGTGTTGAGATGTTGTTAATTATGGTCTTGTCATTACATTAATGATTGTGTCGCTTACATTGTATTTTAAGATGAAGCTTATGCTCGTTAAGATGGCCTATATTGGCGAATATTAAGATGAAGAATTATGCCTTGTTGATGTCTCTATTTATTGGCAGATTTATAAGATGGGAGTTCTGCTCCAATGGTACCACATGCATTTTCATAGTATTGAGTCGCATTATATGATTGCATAAAGAAGTTGTGAATTGATGTGATGAATGTGTATTATAGTTGGTATTTCTGTTGCGATTATTGTTGATTATAAGATGAGAAGTGGTGATTTTATGTGATCTAATTCAATATATTAATTATCATACGCTTTATTATATTGTTAGATATCTCACCTCTTCTGTTTGAATATTGCCCTTACGTTGGTAACGTGCAGGTAATCGAGAGTGAAGGCTGTATACCTTCAATAGTTCGAGTCGGTGTCATTGCTCTGATATGTAACACTCGGGGGGATGAACGCTTGTTGCTTTTGATTGTTGATTATTCAGTTGTTGAATTTTAAGTTGATTATTATTAAAATTGTGTTGTTTTGAAGTTGTTGTAACGATAATAAAGATGTGAGTAAGAATTCCGCTGCGTAGATGTTAAATTGTTGAATTAGTTAATTAAAGTATTTATGATGATGGTTCATCCGAAGTTAAAGTGTTATGTATCCACGATGAATGCAATGTGTTTTTAAAGATAAATTTGTGGCATCCAGATTCGTTTGCATGAATGATTATAACTCTGATTTGCTTATATAATTGGCGGATAGAATTGGGGTGTTACACTTCCCACAGTTGTTCTTGAGAGTATCAATAAACTTAAGAACATTTAGTAGGTTGAACTCTCAAATAGAGAATGAGGCGAGTAGCGGTGAGTTTTCCTTCCAAACGAAGAATTAAAGTAGTTAGTCTTCTTTCCAAACGCCAACTTGGAGCGGTTAGTCTTAAAGTTGAACCAAGACTTTACACAGGCTGATTTTAATGGGTTTAGCTTCGATCGAAAATAAATAATTCCTAAATGGATGAATTACTCAACTAAGGTAATAATAAAACTTATTTGGTGAATTTATAAATCTATCCTTCGAGAATTACAAATGTCTCACTTGTAAAACAACTTTCTCGAAAGCACTTCGAATAAATTTGAGTGAGAGAAAGTAAATAAAATATTTTTGAGAGAGAGTGTGAGGAGTGAGGTATGAGAGCTCATATTTTTTAATGTGAAAATATGTGGAAAGAGACTTCTATTTATAGGTTAGAGGTTGACACAAAAAAAAAGAATTTTTTGGGGTCAGAATTGATTGACACATAAGTACCAATCAATTGGTTAACCTAAAAGTAATCGATTACAAACTTTTAAAATTCAAGAAAATAGTTGTTGCCAATCATTAAAATATTGTCCTAAATATTTAGGGTACAATTTTGCACTAACCCAATCGTTTGGGTAATTTTCAATCGATTGGCAAGAACAAAAATTTGCCCATAATTTTTTTGACAATTCTAAAATTATCTGGCATGACTTCAAGACATTCTTAAAAATATTTTTGTGAGAAAAATAAATTTAAAAGATTGTTTTAGTGTCTCTCTGTGTGTGATTAACCATATATTTACGAGAAAACTCTTATGTACGATGTTTATTCACTTAGGTGCACTTAACTCGTTGTTTTCTAAAATTGACGATTCGTCGATTTTACTAGTTTTTGTCGCTTTTAACCATTTTTTACTGATTTAATTATTTATCCGATTTAACAATACAACCAAACCGATAACCCTTTCAATTTTTCATTCGATCAATCGAACTAGTTTGATTTTTAATAATTGGTCTAAAATACTAAAACACTTTTTTTCTAGTAAAAAAATCTCTCTTCCTCTTCTCTCTCTTTCTTCTTCCACTCTCTCACTCCCCCTTAGTCTCTCTTCTTTATCTTTCTTCTCACACTCTCTCCTATCACCTTTTATGATGTGCTTTTGTTTTTTTGTTAGACAATGGGATAGGTGGTTTGATTGCATGTAGTGATCATATTTTGCGACAAAAATTTTCTCATTTTGACTAGTAATGAATTTATCAAACTTTTAATCTTGCTTTGTTGATAATATGGCCCCATGTTGATTATGCCTTCTACTAAAGATTCAGGTCCTGATATAAACACACCAATGAAAATAAAATACTGTCCACTGTTTTTAACTCTAGTCCTTGCTTTTTTATTTGAAAAAATAGTGTAGAAACCTTTTATTTTTAGTTATTTGAAGGTGATAGCAAAATAATGCGCAATTTGGGTGCAAAAGTTGACCACTATCATCTTTTAATTAAGTTGTCAAATGTCCAATCTTTCTATTGATGTGAAACTTATTTCCTACCTAACAAGTAATTAATTTTTAAAACTAAAATAAAATTAGTGATAGTCTATAAAATATAGTTTTTTTTTTTTTTTTTTGCATGGTTTGCAACATATTTTCTTATAAAAGAAACAATTATTTCTTTCTGGTGTAATGGTGCATAATTAAAAACTGATTTGGTAGATTTGGTAATCCAAAATTAAATATTACAAAGTACCTTTTACGTGTTGGCAATGCATTTGCAAATTGTGGAGGCCAATTAATTACAATATATATGCAATAGATTAATGTACAAAATAAATAATATAGCATTCACACACATATTGTAATAATACATCACTAAAAAAACACCTTTCCATGTTTCTTTTTTGTTTATAATAATTATACTAAGCACTCACTGCAAGCTCTCTCTCACATGGTCTATTTTGTCAACAAATTTGATTCAAACTTTAAAAGAAAGATCTTTTGGAAGGAGCTTTTCCAACAGCTCTCCTAAGGTTGCAAATCTCAAGAATCTTGGCAATTTTGGTACCTCTTTTAGCCTCTGAAGATGCTCTCCTCTCTTGTGCTTTCCTATGAGCTCTTACTACCTCATTTTGCATTTTCTCCAATGCTTTTGCCCTTTTCTCCTCCAACTTCCTCTGCACAAATCATGGATTAAGCTTTTTGGTTCATAATGGACAAAATTGTAACATTATTGATAACTGTGACTTAACACGGTTTAATCGTGACAAAATAATCAAAGACTCTATTAAGTCATAACAAACTATTATGACGTGCCAAAGTTTAGTCGTGACAAATTTAAACTAATCTGATGTAGGTCTTTTTACATATTTTTAAAGACGGCGGTTTTACTTGTTGATAATGTTATTGAAACAAACACTAAAACAAATATGTTGAATCAGACACCAAACACATCTTCAATCAAGATATTCATGCAAAACATACCTCAACTTTCTTCATCCATGAATTAGCTTTCTGAACCTGCTCATTCTCCCAACCATTGATTACAGCATCTTCTCTTTTGAATCTGTTATTAATCTTAGCAACCTTAGCATTTTGCCATGCTGCTATCTTGGATTCAACCTCTTCTTTCTTCACCCTCTCAACAGAAACTTCACTCTGAAGATGACCATTGATGGTTCCTGAAGAAGATGATGATGGAAGCATCTCCAAAGGGTTGTTATCACTATCAGCCACAATTGCCAAAGGGTTGGTTTCTTCCATCAATTCATCTTCTCTAATCCTCAACAAGCTGTGAAAGCTTCTACTGCTATTGTTGTTGTAGTAGCTTTCTCTTTCATTGCTATTGCTAGTAGTAGTAGTAGTATTACTCATCATTGGACTTATGTTATTATAGTCAATACTTGACCCTGCTTGAACCAAAGCACTGAATTCTGTACTTATACTTGTGAAATTCTCGGTGGAAGCTACTTCTGTATTAGGTATGGAAACAAAAGATGATTGGTGACTGTGTGGTTGTCTTGTAAGAGGGTGAGGTGGGGTTAATGCATGAATTTCTCTTATTTCTTCGTCTCTTTCGTCATAATCATCAGTTTCTCTGGTATGGCTTGTTGAAGGTATTTGATCATTCAACATGACAGGTTTGTTTTTGTTGCTTTTGTGAGATGGAATGGGATGGGTTGTGTTTGTAGTGGAAGGATTGTTATCTTTTTGTCCTATTTGGTTTACTATGATTTTTTTGTTTACGTCTCTCATATCAACCCTCAAGTCAAGAGTGGGACAGGGACCGTGGATCTTTCACAACAACCCGATTATTAATAGTTATACTTGTTGGACGTAAGCAAATCACGACCAAGAATATACTATCCATCGTATGTTTGATATATTCTTAACACATCTTGGGCCTCTCGGACTATCTTGAGCGATTTTCTATTGGGCCACTTTTAGGGTCCAATATAAGGTAGGAACATTTGTTCCCCAAGCGTACTTCGGAGTAGCCGAGGTAAGGCATGAGACTTCGTATTGTCTTTATTTACCTTCATGGTTGGGGGCTCTTCATTCTCTACCATTATGTGATTGTTTTTTATCATTCCTCACCGCCGAGTTTCTTTTTTTAGGTGACATATTTTGGTTTTAGATACCAACTTTATCTTTTGTGTTTTCTCTTAGATTTTGATTGTGTCCTCTTTGGTCGGGATCCTTTATTTTCTTGTCCTTTTTTGCAGTGTACTCTAATTATTTTCTTACACTTTTCCTATTTATTTGATGTAGGAAAGTTGGTTGCATGTATCGAAGAAGAAGTCACGTGTTGAAAAGGTTTGACAGGATTTGTCAAGTCTGACCTCTGATGTCAGAATTACTATTATTATGCCTTTTCAGATAGAGAACCGGCTCACCAAAACATCAACTAAATATTTTTTACAATTTTTCTGTTTTGGATTAAAAGTCAATTAGGGTTTCTTTTTCAGTATTTAAACACCTTTGAGTGTGGTCGTTAAAGTTATCTTTTATCATAATAAAATTCAATAATTTTCTCTTTTTGGTGGATTACAAAGTTTTATCTGTCAGGTTTGTCGCATCCAAACATATGTTTTGTCTACGGTTTAACGTTTACTAATCCTTCGTGATTCCAACTGCGTTAGGTGAAATCAGAGCATGCTCCAATTTCTTTTTGTAGCTTGATCAACCATGGGAGATCAACCGATGACCAGAGAAAACCTTTAGGGAATTACCACGACTTTTACCATGGCCCTAGCTGCTTTGATTGAATATATGGCGACTTAAATAAATCAGGTGAATAACACCAACAACAATGGGAACCAACAAAGAGATAGGAAAGAATCGAGTTGTTATTTTTGAAAATTCAATTTTGAAGAAGAATAAATCAACGACGAAGAGATAGTTGGACATGGGAATCAACTGTATAACCATAATTATCGAGTGAGGGTTGATTTTCCATTGTTCTTTTGAACAATATAAGTGGAGGAGTTTTTGGATTGGCAGATTGATGTTGACAGATTCTTCAACGTCATGGGCATCCTTGTGAATAAGAAAGTTAAGATGGTTGCGACCAGGCTAAAGAACGGTGTCGTTTTCTGGTGGGATAAGCTTGTTGTTAAGAGGCAAAGGCAAAGGAAGGAGTTAGTCAGAAGTTGGTGAAGAATGAATCAATTGATGCTGAAGCGATTTTTATCGGAGGATTATGAACAAATTCTTTATAAGATGTATATTAAGTGTGTTAGGGGAAAGAAAAATGTGACATAATAGACAGTTAAGTTCATGCGTTTTTCTGAGCGTAATTTGTAACACCCTAAAATTAATTAGACTATTTATTTAATTATTTAATTAATTCTGATGAGTATTTGTAATGTATTTGTGAACATATATATATATATATATATATATATATATATATATATATATATATATATATATATATATATATATATATATATATATATATATATATATATATATATATATATATATATATATATATATATATATATATATAATGTCTTGATGATTTATATGATGCATTGTGTTGTTCGCTGATATTATGTGTTGGGATAGTAATGAGTTAAAGATAATGTGAGATGTTTATAATTTAAATAATGAGTTTGGAATTATTTAGATTTAATAATAATCATTTAGAATTATTTTTATTGGTCAAATAAAATAGTAGTGGTGTAGAAGGGATAAGGGAAAAGTAGTAATTGAGAATGGAAGTGAGGGTAAGATGAGAACACCACAGAAAGGGTCCAAGGGTTAAACTAGAAAAATAGTGTCAGTGTTCATTATGGGAAATCGTGAAAAGAGAAGAACGATGTGGAGAACTAGGGAACGAAGAGAGAGAGAGAGAGAGAGAGAGAGAGAGAGAGAGAGAGAGAGAGAGAGAGAGAGAGAGAGAGAGAGAGAGAGAGAGAGAAGCATCTGCAGAGCTTGGGACAAGAATCAATTTCTAGGAGAATCTAAGGTAAGGGGGTTATCCTTGTTATTATGATTGATATAGGGTTTAGATGTATGTAGGTTGTTTTGGGTTTTGTGGTGAATTGATAACATGATGAATATGATAAACCTTGATGAAGTTGATGAAATTACCATGCTATTTTGCCATGATTTTATATATATAATGTATAATATAATGTGTTGGTATTGTATGATGAAAACATGAGTATTGGTGATGATTTGGAACATGTTCTATGTTGAAATCGTGAGAAAATTGGACTGGTGCAGTGCAGAAAACGCACATGGAATTCCCTATTTGCGTTGCGTCGCTGAACGAGCCATATGCTTCACTGGATGCGTTAGCTTCTCCCAAGCAGCACCAGGCAAGCAAGAGGAGAAGGGAAGGGGTGAAAAATAGAGCCCTTGGATTTTTGTATAAGGAGGACGACTCGCCCCAGCTTCGTTGGGCAAGGCAGAAGCGAGAGGACCTCGCTGGGTGAGTGAATAGCTTCGTCGGGCGAAGGAGACAGAAGAAAAAAATGCTCCTGGATTTTGTATGGGGGAAGAGTTTTCGCCCCCATCCTCTCCGGGCGAGCCTCAAGCGAGCAGGCTGCTTCGCCAGGCGAGCCTCAGGCGAGTGGTGTTTAACAGAAACTTTAGAAGGTCATAACTTGAGTTTCCAGACTTTGTTTGACGCGTCCTTCAAAGTGTTAGGAAGCTAACACGCCGTAATATGCCTTGATAGAATAAAATGAGTCATATGATGTATCTTCCTATTTCTCCCCAAAATTTATCCTCTTGATTTAGGCTTATGTTTCATCATAACCATCATATTGCATTGCATTCATACATTGTGATGGGATCAAAATATTTTGGTTATCAGGTCTTCCTCAAGCTTTGAAAGATTGATTGTATTGACAAGTTGCTCAAGGAGGGCCTTATTATCTAAACCTATGGATCTTTCAAGCCCAAAGGTATCACATATCTCAAGATATCTTATCCACCTCATTGGATCATCAGAAGATTGAGTATTGTGATGTTTATAAGGAGAATCACATCCTTTGGATTCATTAGTCAAAATTAGGATTTTTCCAAAATTGGAGTAATTGGTGTCTATATGAGCCAAGTATTGAAGCATCATTCTCTTATCATCATCAAAATAAATTTTGTTTAAGGATTCTCTCATGATGCTTAGTGGAATTAGGGTTTTGAAGCTTGATTAGCTATCTCCTAATGCAGAGTGCAAAACTAGAGTTTGAGTTTAAATCATGGATTCTTTGGAATTTTGAGTGGAAACTCTTTCCATGGACTCTATGTGTTTGGAATATCATATGTTTCAAGTTTTGTTCACCAATTTTGAAGAGAATTGGTTCAATTGAATCAAAGGGGCAAAATAATCATTTTACTCAAAAGTCAACAAAGTCAAAGTTGACCAAGTGAACTTTTGGTCAACATGAAGCATTTGACATGTATTTTCATGTGGGATGATCATTGATGATTGATTTTGATGAGAATGGAAAGTTTGAGAGGTTACTTGTATTTGAAGTTATCTTGGTGATTGAAAATTTCACTAAGTATTCTTGATTTTGGTCTGACTTCGTATGGGTATAACTTTCGCATTTTTCAGGGGAGTTTGGTGGTTATTTTTGCCAATTGAATAGGGGAAAGAGATCTACAAGGGCCCACAGGGGGGAAAACACACTTCTTACTCAAAATCAAAAGTTATGAGCCTTTGAAGTTTAGGACAAGTTGGGCATTTTTTGAGGCATCTGGGGAATTTGGCCAGGCAAGGCAAGGCATTTGGCCTAGGAAATTCATTAAACAGTTGGTGACATGCCTGTAATTGTTGATTCAAGGCATAATTCAAAAATGTGTCTCGTGCATTTTAAAGACGGCTATGAGAGCTTTTCATTAAACTTGGAATCACTCAATTTGGTTTAAAGTCGAAGAAGTTGTGATTTGGGGAAGTTGGGTGTCAAAACCGGAAATTCGAAGGCATTTGGCCAAGCCAGCGCACGCACAGTCTTGGGCAAGATAACTTGAGTTGCCCAGAAATCCTAAGCCTTATATCTTGATCATATCTCCATCATTTTTTTCGAACCTTATCTTTTTTTGAAGCTTAGGGTATGTTCTTTAATTGGCTCAAGAAAAATTTAAGAACGCACGAGCCAATTTTCTGTGGCCTCCATTAGAAGTCAGCTGACTTATGGTGCATGCATGGGCTATGAAAATTTAAGATTTTTTGCACCCTTCAATTCTGTTTGGTTTTAAGTATTGTTGCACGTGCTTTGCATGAATTGCACCTCATGTGCTTGCCAAAAAGGCCAAACCAAGTGCACACCTCATGCCTCTCTCATTTTCACATTTTTGCCAAAATGGGAAACTTTCATCACAAGAAAATCAGTCCCATGTGCAATCTTTGCCACCTCACCCCCTCACACTTTGTTTGCTTCACTCATACAACTTAAAGCTCATTCAAAACTCAACTTGTTTCCCTCTGAGTGCACACATAACCCAAGTACATGCTCTCACGCTCTCACTTGCCTGTTTTGGCCAAATTGTCCTCCAGCGGATTTATGTGAGCTATGACCTTATTGCCCTCACTCTAAACATTCTATATAAGTGGCTCAAGCTTTCCATTCTCGCAGACAGGAACGACATCGTAGGAAGCATCTCAGAATTACCTC